TGGCATAAGAGAGCATATCTCTAGAATTTCTTATCTGTCCAAACTTAAACTGTAAATGACTCATAAGGGGCAATATACAGTAATTTACAAATGCTATGTTTTCCCTTACACCTTACTCTCCTGTGGTTAAACATTGTCAACTTTATGAAAACTAAACTACTGGGGATTTTTTTAAACCTTCAACCTCTCCGGGTGTCTATGGGATGATTATTCTTCATTGCACTCTATAACCTCTGAAGAGTACAAAGAAGGGAGGGAGGAAAGGAGAGAAGGAGGAAGGAAGAACGAGGAAGGAAAGGAATGGGGAGGGAAGGAAGGAGGGAGAAGACTGAGAAAAGAAGAAAGTTAATAAACTCAAAGACACTAGTCATCTGGCTAGAGACAGATGCAAACATGGCTGTCTTCATCATCTTCTCATCGCATGGCCCATGAACACCCATCTGGGGTGAGTGCTACCCCAACACTTCAATGCTATATCTATTTCATACTCTCGATGACTCTTTGGAGGTATCCCCTGGAGCCAGGCTTAGAGATGAGAAGACTGATCTCCACGGTGGCCCCCAGCTTGGCAGTAGTGGGGTCACTGCTGCACACTGAGGTCTGCCCAGCTCCAGAGCACTGGGACCTGGCTTTACCCAGTCTGACAGTGGCGGACTGCCAGAACACGTGATTTTTTTTTCCAGGGTTGCTCATTGCCCCCATGGTGAAGATTCAAAGCCAAGCACAGTGACTAATTGCCAGCTAAATTAATAGAGACAGAATCAGTCACAGCATGGAGTAGACTCCATCGGGACTACTGCAGCTATGCATTGTGCTTGACTGTGAATTGTGTACAATTCTCATGCTCGTAATGTGGTCGGTGTGGGAGCAGATTGTAGACATGTAAAGTATCTAGCAGCCATGCAGTGTGTGAATTGTTACTACATTGTAGTAGTGGTTCTCAACCCATGGCTAGGCTAACGAATCCTTCTGGTTGCGGGGGATTGAGGACCCTTTCACAGGTGTTATGTATTGAAAGACTCTAAATGCATTTGTAAGCTCCCTCAGCCCTAAGGTTTTTTCTAAAACCTTACACTCACTCTATCTTGGAAAAGGGACAGTCACACACACACACACAGGACTGCTTATCCTCCTGTGTCCTTGTAAATAACCACGTGCTGGACTGCTCATCCCCCTGTGTCCTTGAGAATAATCTTCAAACGTAACTCCATTTTGGGAATTGAGGCAAATACAACCCACAGATGTTGACTCAGTTCCTGATGCATTGATTTAGTCACTGAACCAAAGGTCAGGAAGACCACAGAGATGCTCTCCCTTATCACCTGACCACGCAGCTATTCTCCTGCCCTAAAATAGACCAATCACTACTAGTAACCCTTTGAATAAGCCAATCCAATAAGTTGGAAAACAACTTACAGGTTCCCCCCCCCCTTGTGTCTGTGGCTTTTCGCTTTAGAAGATGGACTGTAACAGCTATCGTTGTCCTTCATATCCCAAACCTGAGGGACCCTGTCATGACAGAATAAAAATCCTCTTGCTTTTGCATCAATTTGTGGTTGTCTGGAGCAACTCTTCCCTGATGTTTGGACATCTAATCCAACAGTATCAAATATCCTGCATAGCAGTTACTTACATTATGATTCATAACAGTAGCAAAATTACAGTTATGAGGTAGCAACAAAAATAATTTTGTGGTTGGGGGTCACCACAGCGTGAGGAACTGCATTGAAGACTTGCAGCATTAGGAAGGTTGAGAAGCACTGGATTAGAGAATAGAGCAGACAATACTGAGCCTTCCTACAAGGCTAGGTATGGATTTTGGAATACATTAAATTTGAGCATATTATTATTTTTCTCTCTCTCATTTCTGGCTGCCACCTAGGAAGAAGTGGAAATGGATTCCTGACCATCATGACGTCCTATGGGAAAGCACGTATGCAGTCTTTCACATGACCAACATTTACAAGGCTCTAAGTATGTGATCAAGTCTTAGATACTGGGCACACACAAATGGAAAGACACAGCTTCAATTTTGCTTTCTGTGTGTTGCTCTTTGACCTCTCCTTTCCATGTTGGCTTTTCTTTCTTAATCTCTCTCTCTCTCTCTCTCTCTCTGTCTCTGTTTGAACTATTTGTGAGTGTTACAGCTCTGAAGGGAAAGGTATCCTGACTTGTCAGGAAGTCAGCTGATATACATGAACCTGGGGCACAGTGGGGGATGGTGCCCCCCACAGGATGTAGCGATCCTGCTCCTCTCCCAGAGAGAGTGGTTATAGCTGAACTCTGCTCTGTTCCCTTAAGGGAACATCCTAGCAGGGGTATCAGTTTCTTCTGCTCTGCTCAGCTCCCACTGAAGATGTTACTTCTGCTTCACTCTGCTAAAGAAGAAGCCCCTGCAGAAATGTAGCAATCTCCTCTGACAAAAAGTTACCTTTTCTGCTCCACTCCCTAAGGAGTTTTCCAGCCAATATAACTATTTCTTCTGTTTTTTTTTTTTTTTTTTTTTTTTTTTTTTTTTTTGATTTTTGAGGCAGGGTTTCTCCGTAGCTTTTGGTTCCTGTCCTGGAACTAGCTCTTGTAGACCAGGCTGGCCTCGAACTCACAGAGATCTGCCTGCCTCTGCCTCCTGAGTGCTGGGATTAAAGGCGTGTGCCACCACCGCCCGGCTAAGATACGTTTCTTTTATTGGCTCTGATTCTAGGGCCAAAGTGTATGTCTTTTGCTCTGGTTTCAGAGTCAGGGTGTCCTTCTTTGGTTCTGGGTTCAGGGCTAAAGTGTTTCTCTCACTGACCTGGTTATCAGATCCAGGGTTTGTTTCTTTCTCAGGCTGTAGCTTCAAGGTCCCTGCTAGATTTGGCGCTCAGAGATTGGTTGGTTTCCTGCTCAGGGATTGGTTAGTTTTTCTGTTCAGGGATTGGTTTTATGTTCTGTTGGTCAGAGACAGAGTTGGCTCTGTTTTCAGCTCCAAGCCGTGTTTCTTTCTCTGGCCCTTTTTAACTTTTTGGCTCCAGTTTTCTCATTTTTAAACATGTTTTTCACTGATTCTTTGTGAATTTCATACCACGCACCCCAATTCCACTCATTTCCCAGTCCTTCCAGGTCTGCAGTCTGTGACTGCAGTTCCATGGTGAGAGGGCTTGCTTCACATGTGTGAGGCCTTGAGTTTGATTCTTGGTCCCCACACAAAACAAAACAGGACAAACTGAAGCCTCCCCACCCCACTTGAAATTGACATAAGAATGGCCAAGCACTTTGATCATGTAAACAACTGCACCCGTGGCTATCTCTGGAAAATCTTGGTAACCTACTATTACTTAGCTTCATATGGGCTCTGTTGTAACGGTCATGAAAACATCACCCATGGATCATGCCCAGAGCAAGGCTGACTAAAGAAAATGGAAGGAACACAATTATCTCCTGTGATGTGGGATGCCCCTCTGTATGCTATGAATATGTTTTTATTACCCTTGGTTAATAAAGAAGCTGATTCGGCCTATGGCAGGGCAGAATATAGCCAGGATGGAAGGATAGAGAGAGAGTCAAGGAGATGCCATATTGCTGCCGACAGAGTCAGATGCCCGTATTTTACCTGGTAAGCCACAGCCTCGTGGCGATACACAGAATAATAAAATGGGTTAATTTAAGATATAAGAGTTAGTTAGTAGGAAGCCTGAGCTAATAGGCCAAGCAGTGTTGTAATTAATAGAGTTTCTGTGTCTGAGCAGTCAGGAAACAAACGAGCGGCCTCCATCTACACTACTGCAATGGTTTCATTCAAGGTCTCGTGAGGACCATCATGCCCTGTTCTTCCCATGAGACATCAGGAGAGGGACTGAGAGAAAGCAGGTGACAGGGCATGCTGAAAATCAAAACACAGAACACTTGCTGAGGCTTCAGAAAACGTCACAGGTATGTTTGGTTTTGGGTGGCAGTTCACATGAGCTCTTGAATCTTCGCTTCCAGTTTTTGTTCATCAGCTCCATGAAATTCATAGATCTGTTTCAAATACACAAAGGCACAGAAGGGTTTATTGACGCGAGCGCTGCAAAGGCATCGAAGTGTCAAGGAGTTCTGTGTCTGATTGAATAGTTGTTTCTCGTTTCCATAATCTCAGAAGCTGTCCAAGTATTAATACACATTAAATAGATTAAATCCCTGACCTTTTATTTGTCGCAAGACCAGGTACACTCAGGTGGTCACTCTTTCAAAATGAGTGATATGAATATTTCTCCAGGTCTCTGTAATTCTTCTTAACATATGACCTAAAGTGTATGACACCACTGGAGATGAAGATGCCCAATCCTTGAAATTAGAGCTTTTGATATATTGGCATTGAGGGCTTCTTCAGGTATATACACAATTTTCTAAAACAAAAAGTCTTTTTGTGACTTCTGCTCAGGTCATGGTGGTATAATTGATTCTAAGAAGTGCGTGTTTTACACATTTCCTCCAACCCCAACTCAACTTTATAGTGGATGGTATATTTTAATCGGAACATTTTTTTTTAGTAGTATATAAAATAATGTCTCTCTCTTTCTCTTTTCTACACAGGTCTTAGGTAGCCAACACTGGCCATAAAGTCCAGTCCTGATCCTCCTGCTTCCACCCACAAAGTGCTAGGATTACAGGCATACAGTGAACCTGACCTGCTGTAACACCTTTCAAATAGCTCTCTCATGTTTGGGTTGGGGAGACAGATCAGCTGGTGAGGTGTTTGATACACATGCATGAGGTATTGCGTTTGAGTTCCTAGCACCCAACTAAAGAGTGTGGTGTGGTTTACTGTGTGTGGTGATAATCCCAGAGCTGCGGGGGTGGACGCAGGTGGATCCCCTGGTTTTGATGTCCAGATAATTGGTGATCTCCAATGAGAGACCCAAAATCACCAAGACAGATGGCTCCTGAGGAGCCGTGCTGAGGTTGTCCTCGGGCTTCCAGAGGCACTTACATAACACTCATATGAACACACGAAATAAGCACGTAGCAGTTATTGAAATAAGGACGTCAGCCTGTCCTTTAAATCCACCACCACGTCAACACTAGGTGTATTAGTTATTGGGATCCAGGGAAGAATATAAGTAAACTGAGGTGAGGAGCAGGTGAAGACTTGAGCTTCTGGTAAGGTTGGAGTAGGGACTGGAACATTCTAGAACAAGCCTCTGTGCTCGGCGTGCTGCAGAGAAGTAACCGTCCCCAAACCTCTTGTTCCTGCTTCCCCCACTCAGCAGCTTCCCCTCTGGGTCTGCCGTTTTATTGACTCCTTGAATGCCAGCCCCAGGTGTGGGTTTATGTCCATCTCCGTCTCATTTCGCTTACCTTCCTAGTCTCCACTCCACGTCTGAGACAGCACAGTGTTCTTTTGAGTCTCGAGAATAGAGGGACCTATGTGTGGGTGCAGAATTTCACGGTTTATCTGAGTTGCCGGTCTGTAGCCATCTCCTCATAAACAGTTCCCATGGTTTTGGCCAGGGGAGGAAGGTATCAGAAGGGATCTGCCGATGGGTCTCCCCTTCAGGGCTGGGGAAAGCTCACTCGGTGAAATGTTTGCCTAACACGCACAGAGACCTGGCTTTGAACCCGGGAACCTCATCAGCCAACTGTGGTGGTTACACTTGTAGCCCCAGCATCCAGGAGGTGCAGAAGTTCAAAGTCATCCTGAGCTTCGTAGTGAGTCTGGAGTCAGCAGAGGCTACCTTAGACCTTGTTTTGGGGCGGGGAGTTCTTCCTATTACTAGGATGGCAACCAGAGAGGGTGCCTCTGGGGCCTGAAGGGAGATTCACTATGGGGTCTTAAAGGGACTTTGTCCCTTGTCTCAAGTCAGAGCTGGAGTGGAAAGCAGGCGGTGGGAGGTTTTGGATTCCACTTTATTCTGTTTATCCAGTGGGAGCTCAAGGGTGGGAATCACTATGCAAGAGCAGTGACTTCCTCCTAACCTTCTTTTGGATCTTATGTCCAAGGATCCTCCTAAATCTTTATCTTTTCTTCTTCTATAGGGGAGTCGGATGCAACTGAAGGTAGGAGGGAGACCATGTGAGGCAAACAGAGCATCCACAGGGAAAAGATGGCGTGTCTGTTCCCAGGACCGCCACCTAATTCCAGATGGCCTTCTGGGCTCCTTAGGCTCCCTTAGAAGATATTTCTCTCATCTCTTTAGAGATGTACTCAGTGGATCATGTTTTATCTGTTTTATTTCAGCCTGCTTCTTGCTTCAAAGGACAGTGAGAACTCGGAAAGAAAATAAAAGAGGTTGGGGCAGAGAGAATTCCCTAACTGGAAAAAGCTATGTCTCGTAGTGGGATGGTATAAGCTATGGGGTACAAAAAAATGGGGCACAGCTCTAGAGGGGGATGAGTTCCGTGATTATGGGGTTATGAGATTCCTTCTATAGCTGCCAAGAGCAGCCAGGAGCAGTAAGTGCCACGGCTACTGTCTAGTCTGATGTCTTCCTAGAGATACCTTCACCCTCCACAGGGGACTGTCACCCACCCTATTACGTGAGCCAGAACTGCACAAAATTCCGTACTGTGTAACCATTCCCAGGCACCACGCCTGCCTCTCACATTACGATATGTTCAAAAGCAACCTCAATTCTGAGTTTTTTCACAATGAGTTGCTTTTGCATATTTTTTGAACTTTACAAGTAGAATTCTACAGACTGTATTCTTTCTTAAAAGAAAAAATTATTTTTTTTTGTATTTTATGTACTTTGTTATTTTGCCTGTATGTATGCCCGTGTGAGGGTGTTGGATATCCTGGAACAGGAGTTACAGACAGTTGTGAGCTGCCGTGTGGGTGCTGGGAATTGTACCCGGTTCCCTTGGAAGAGCAGCCAGTGCTTTTAACCACTGAGCCATCTCTCCAGACCTACAGATTGTATACTAGGTCTGACTGTTTTTACTCAGTTTCATGCTCACGGTGTTTCTCTGTTCCACAGTGGTCTGGATGTGTTTCAGTATTCCTTTGCGTGAGTCTAACATAATTTATCCACTTGCACTCTGGGGAATGATGGTGCTGGGGACATTCTTGTCGATGTATTTGTGGGTGATATGGAAGAGTTCCTTCCTGCTGTATACGCAAAGAATGGAATTACGGGGTTAAACTTTAATGGGAGTCCTCTCTCTCTCTCTGTTTCTCTCTCTCTCTCCTCTCCCCCTCCTTTCTCAGAAAGGATCTTATGTAATGCAGGCTGGTCTTCACCATACAGAATTGCCAAGGACAACCACAAATTGCTGTATGTACAACCACACTCAATTTATACCATTCTGGAAACTAACCGAAGGCTGGCTAGGCCATCATTCTGCCAACTGAAGGGCAACAACAGCCCCCGAAACTGACTGTTCCAGCAAAGGATGGGTGTTCTGGTTGCTCCACATCCTTGACATTTGGTCACCAGTTTTTGTCATGTCAGCCATTCTGGTGGTTTTAAGGGACTTTACCTTTGTTTCCTAACTGGCCACCTTTAAAATGGACTATAGCAATAACCCCAAAACTTTCTTTGTGCTCAGTTTTGTGCCTTTTCTGTCCACCTCCTCCCATGAATCTCAAAGCTACAAATGTGCTTGTGGGATCCTTTCCAAGCTCTTCAGAGTTCTCTTCCTCATTGTAAAAATCCCTTCTAATGTTGTCTTAATTTTGTCTCCTCCTCCTCGATACCATGCCCTGCGTGAACTCTGAACTATGGGAACACTTCACAGGGGACTCACTGTTTACTTCAAAACCACTTTGTCTGAGTGCTTGGCTGCAAGCGTTTTAGACCTTGGAATATTTGAAACTAAATTCCGAGATATCCTGGGGATGAGACTCAAATCTAACTGGAAATTTGCGTCTATTTCACGCGTCTCACTGATGTGGGAGTGTCATATATCAATCTGTTGATTTCATTGGTTAAGTTATAATAAACCAGCTGCTTGGCCTCATGGCTTGGAACATAGATGGGAGGAGTAAACAGAATTCTGGGCGGAAGAGGAAGTGACGTCAGACTCTGCTCTGCTCCCGGAGAGACTCGACATCTCTGCACTCTGGAGCAGAGACACCATGATGGACGGAGGCTAGACTCTTCCCGGTAAGCGCACCTTGGGGTGCTTACACACATCATTAGAAATGGGCTAGTCCAGGTGCGAGAATTAGCCTGTAAGGGCTAGAGTTCATGGGCCAAGCAGTTCTTTTTAAATGAATACAGTTTGTGTGTTGTTATTTCGGGCGTGAGCTAGCCAAGCGGCCGGGGTGTTGGGGACGCAGCCCCGCTGCTCTTATTTCAACATCTCACAGCCTGAAGTCTGCTCTAGCTTCTTTCATGTTGCTCTGATAAAACACTTACTAAAACCAGCTTGGAGGAGGGTAGGGTTTGTTTCATCTCACAAATCCTAGGTCACAATCCGTCACGGAGGAGTCAGGAACCATGGAGGAATGATGCTCGTTGGCTCGATCTCTGGACCACTTCCTGGCTCATGCTTAGCTAGCTATAAAGTGCCCAGGGCCACTGACTGAGGAATGGTGCCACCAATGGTGGGCTAGGTCCTCCTACATCAACCAATTATCAAGACAGTCCCTCATGCTCACAGACCAACCTGACTTACGTAGTTCCTCCGTTGCTGCTTCTGTTCTAAGATGACCCTAGCCTGTGTCAAGCTGACAATAAAGGCTTACCGAGGCAGTAATCTTGTACAAGGCTTTTTCTCATCTTAATTCACAAAACTGAGTCTACGAACATTGACACATCGATCTGACAGCATCATGTCCCTATGAAATATCAGATTTTGGAACGTTGTGACTTTGGATGTTTGGGTTATGGACACTCGCAAGGTTTTCTTTTAGAATGTGCACTTAATGCGTACCTGTGCTAAGCTGGGGCCTTGTGAATGAGACAGATGAAATCTCTTAGGTGTTCAGATGCTAATAATTTCATGCTATTGTTATGTAAGCATGTAAACTATCTCAGATACACACACATGCTACTCTATCAATCTCTGCTTCTCCTTATCCAGTCCTATCCCGC